AGAATAATACATATTATAATATGATGTTCTCTAATGCCATCCAAGCACTAAACCACCAACCCTAATACTAAACTATAATATATTTGCATTATAAGTCAAAGTAACGTTGTATATTTATTATTTATTAAATTGAATAGGGTATGTATAGGATAAATCAACAATTTAGAGGGTGACTATTAAAATTTACCACATATATATATATATATATATGGTTATTGAATACAAAAGTGTGTAAAAAATGTTTGAAATTATGATTTTAGAATTTGAAGCTTGAGAATTCATTCTACAAATTTAAATTCAATCTTCTTTTATTTTCTCCATACAATTTTCAAAAATAAAATGGATTCATTTTTTTATTGACTAGAAAATTATTGTCCTTGCAATACGAATTGAAAACCTCATTAGACTTGAGAGATTCTCTCCTTATCCAACTACTCTTTTATTGTCGGTGCCTTTTTCTTAATCTCTCATAAATTTACTTATTTATTTCTTCTTGTTACTATTTAACAAATAAATTTTTTACTCTTAATCTTTATTTTTTTTTTGTGAAAAAAATAATTATAATTTTAAATTTCATACTTTGTTTGGTACAATTTAGAGTAATTGGTTTTTCAATAAGTCTCAATTTCTTAATTAAAATTTTTTAAAAATAAATTGTGATTATGTGTTTAGTACTTTTATTTTCTTTAAATAAAAAGGTAGGATTGAATTGTAAATTATGCATCGTTTGTCACGAACAATATATTAAAAATAATAAATATATTATATTAATTTTTGTGTACACAAAATAAATTTTTTAAATAATTTTAAACACATTTCACTTTAAATTAAAAGATTCCAAATTTTATTAGATAAAACTACGTATAAAATTAAAAAAAAATTATTAAAAATAAGGAGCATGTATCATACTATAATCTATAATTTAAATACTAAAATAATAATCTATCTCCCAAATATGCGATAATTAAAAATCAACCGTAGGGAATTCTTGTTTGATTATGTTGCTAATTATTGCTGTTATCATAAAATAATGCTTTTTAATGTATGTATAAATATTCGCTTGTTAAATATTAAATAATTTTTAATATATGTGGGCCCCGCAAACAGTTATTATATCGCGAGATGATATTTTGGGGCAAAGCGTATGAGAAAGCCGAGTCACAGTCATTGGATACCCTATGTGAGTGGCCACGTGGAAAGTGAGTTTTGAATTTCTTTTTTTTTTTTTTTTTTTCTTTGGGTAAGATAACATCTTCGCCATCTCCACCGCCGTTAATTGGGAAGTGTGATTCACGTGCTCGTAGATCACGAAAGGAGGCAACAAATGTTTTTCGTGGTGAAAATTTCAAAATTTTTTTAAAGCTAGTTTTGAAAAGGTCCCTTTTTATTTATTTATTTTTCTTTTAAATCCTTAAAAAATATGTATATATAAATATAATATATGTGTGTGTATATAAAATGCTCTCGTGCTGTACATGACTCTGAATGAACCTGGTGGCAGGCTATCAAATTGGAAAAGTCACTAAATTCTATTCAAACAAATTTTCTTGGGCAAACCCAATTTTGTATTTATTAGGAATTTTTTAAAAACAAAGTTGACAGAGTTTGAATTGGAATAATTAGTGACTCGATTTAATTGATGGGATTAACATAAAGTTGAGTCTTGATTGATTTTTGGAAAAAAAAAAAAAAATCAAGGCTTGAGATTTGTCTACTTGGTAATTATCCTCATTTAGAAATAAATTTTATTGTGTCTAGACAACCAAATAATTTCAAAAATTTATGGTTAATTTTTGCAATAATGTCTTGAAATTTAAGCATTTTTTTTTATTTTTTTTTTAAAAAATTAGTTTGATAAATCCTTGCATTTAAAAAAATTATTATTTAATACAAAACAAAAGATTAGACTTTGTCTCTTAAGATTAAGAAAAAAGATGTCTTAAAAGTTAGGTAACACATGTTATCTTTTTCTATTTGTTGTTTTATTTCATCTAATGTAGGCAAGGTACTCCCTAGTTGATTAATAATTGATGCTTTATTTATTTATATATATAATTAATTAATTAGCTTGGCTAAATGACATATATCTTCAATTTTTTTATTAATATAATAATTAAGTTAATTTTAGTTTGTATTAATTCATCTAAAAAGTTTAGATACTTGAATTTATGACAAATGTTAAGTTTATATTATTTTATTTATAAAAAACATATCTATATAGAATTAGAGCTTATAATTATATATATTTATTTTAAATATGTAAATAGACTAATAAATATTATAAGTTTTGCCTTGGTCTTTTTTAAAAAATTACATTAGTTTGTATGCTATTAGAAAGCAACAATTTTAATCACCTTGTTTTTTTTTTTAACCAAACTATGTGTTCCAAAACTTAAAATTTATAATCTATTAAAAATTTAATCCCCACATATAATTTTAAGTCAAATAAGTTTTTTTGTGGGAAAAGATTGTTGCTTCAATAAATAGAGTTTCTAAAATTATATCATAATTGCTTTTACAAAGTAGTTCCCTTTCCCTTCGACTTCAAAGAAATGGGTACCTGGGAACATGACGCAGCGACGACATCATCATTAAATGAATTGACTGACGGTTTCGGTAGTTTTATATTGACTGATCTTAACCCTCATAGCTTGGAAACAATCTGAACTTGTAAAATAAAAGACTCTGACTTGTTCACGTTAATACATTACAAACTTAAATTTTTAACTCTTATCAGTTAATATAAATTATTTTGTACTAAAAAAAAAAACGCATAAAATAGAAGTAAAATAATGACATATGAATTGTCATTGGACCATGCTCCAAGGAGGTGTTGCTGGGCCTCCTACTAATCCCTCCCAGGGATTTTTCAAGGTGGCAACTTCAATGACTTGAGTTCCATCCTGGTTTAAGTCACTTTGACAGTGCTCCTCTGTTTTTTTTTTTTTTTTTTTTTTTTTTTCAATTCCCTCGTAATCATCTGTTTACTTGTCTCTCTTCCTTTCTAATCTCTTTACTTGCTTAGAAAGTAAAGGAACAAGAGAAATGCAAAGAAATTTTTTCTAGTGTCTGATGTTATGAAGCAGGAGGCAAAGAAAAAGTTGAATAGTCTTAAATCCAAGGATCAAAAACAAATCATCACAAGGATGTTTGGTGTGCAGCGTGGACGGGTGAAAAAATTGCAGGAGATTCGGGATATGACCAGTGAGCAACCAAAGAATTTGACAACTGACTCTTAATAGTTTGAGATTGAGAAAGATTATTTTTCCTGATTCACTAAACACCCTTTTTCTAACTACAGAAAATACCTAATTTTTTTTCTCAAAATGGAAATGAAAAAGATAAAAAAAAAAAAATTACCAAGGGGATAATGAAAATTTAACATAATTAATTATCCTTCACAGAGAGTTTTTCTAACTTATTTTTGCGTACGATTATGAAAAGAAAACATATTTTGTCCCGCCCCTAAATAATTTACAATAGATTTTAAGATGAACCTCACGTTCATCGTATGGAAGTTGGAGGACAGAGTTAAAGAAATGTCCGCAATGTCAATTATTGACAAAAGTTAACCAGAAGATATTTGGTATCATAATGAAAACTGAAACACTGAACAAAAAAAGAACATGCTTTGTGGTTGGTAATGCAAAATTCAATGAATCATGTTGCAGGCAAGGACAAACAAACTAGTCTCTATCCAATTCCAGTCAAAAACATGACATGAGGTCTTGTTTCTTTTCTAATGATTTGCTAGCCCAAAAAGCCAAGGAGGATGCCATCAATAAAAAGCAAATACTTGCTTGGTCCTTCAAAAGTAGGGAGATCACATATATAAGAGGGTGTTATTGAACCCACATACCGCATATGTCAGTTTGGAGGCTGAAAAGGAACTGGCGATCAAAATAATTTTCCTGCCTACGAAGATTTATTCCTCATGTCCTTCGGGCTGTGTCATATGTGGCACTTTTAATGAGGCTGAACCAACAAATAAATAAATGAGATATGGACTTTCTCCAATTGACAGTAATGCATATAAAGACAGGTATAATATTCAGTATTTACATTTGAAATGGAGCAGCTAACACTACAGAAACATAAGCACTAATTGGACAACAAGAGAGAATTGAAGTTGGGTTAGCAAGGAGAATTAAATTACATGAAAAAAGCCATGAATCTAGCTAAATGATTTAATTAGCTTGGTCACTGATTTCCCAATGAGCAATGATTTAATAAACATATGTACTAGAGTGTGTTTTCCTCAAGTTTTAGCTAAAAGTGATTAAATAGCGAGTGAAAATTAATTTTCAGCATGATTTACTAGGAAAGCAAATGTCAAGTCCTAGTTTGGGACTTCAAGAAATGCAGATCCTAAAAGACACAATCAAAACTGTAGGCCCTGGTTTTAGAAACTGGAAAAAGTACAGAAGAATTTATGTAATCTACCAGTTAGTGTACCTTTGCGATCTTCATGATCAAATTTGTGAAATGGAATCATCAGAATCATGTTGTAGATCCTCCGGGATATCAATTGACAAAATTAAAGCAGAAGTATCCTCCACATCATGAGAACCATCTTCTGGGATTTGCTGAACTTCAAATGATAAAATGGAAGCACGAGAAGCATCCTCCATATTGCCTGGAGAGTCTGGACCTGACAGAATAATTGGTTCAGGACGTGCAGAATTCAGCCGGCGAAACAATCCACTTGGAATTTTCGGTGATAGAACTTCAAACTCATGTTCCGGCTTATGCTGCTGATTAAATCGTCCAGGAACATTTGTCGGATTTCTGTAGCATGCTTCACACAGATCAAAGCCGACATCCTCCACGCAGTCCTTGCATTTGTACCTCTCACCAATTAGTGGAGACATCTGCAAAAAATCTTAAGATGCTGGAATCTGTTCAATTTATTCTCCAATCAGAGAACACAAAATCATGATAAAATGTTTGACTGTAAATGATAATAGCTGGTACAGACAAGAACTTTTAACAGTCAGAAACCAAAACTAATGAATATTTCATAGCCATTGCAACTGATAATGTAAAAAATCTATTATACTAGCTTGCCGAGAAAGCCATATTTCTGACGGAAAATTTTTTAGTTCTCTAGTGTCAAAATTATTTTAAGACACTTTTACTCATTCAGTGGATTGTGTAAAAGGGCCTGCGACATGTAAACAAGATAATAATATTTCAGTCTAGCTCCCAATTAAAAATTCTAGTCTAGGATACCTAAACTTTATCTAGATTTCAGACTGTCAGCAATCTTCTCTGTCCCAAAAATTCTCAAGATTCAGAGAAAAATGTTACAAAATTTGGCACATTGATCAATTTGCAGGAAATCATTTGGATGTATCATGTCTTCCAAACTAAACCGAAAGTGTCTTCCAATATGAGAATCACATGCTTTATGCTAGGGACAGGACCAAAAAAGGGAGTACACAAACGATAAATAAAACCAACATTTTCACTATTAAAAACTATAATCTACTCTGGAAATTACAGTAGTATGACAGCAAGTAATGACATTACCCCGCAAGAATCACAACCCACTCCAATGTGAACCTTAGGGCCCTTATTGCCCCACCACCATGAGGAGTAAACATCAGAGAGAACCGACGACAATGACTGGGAAGTTTGTGGTTGAGCTTGTCCTGATCCTGAAATCAATTTGCTCTAAATCTTGGTGCCAGATAAATTATAAACAGATATTGAGACAAAAATACACAAGCTCAGATACAAAAACAAGTTCTAGGATCAAATAGGATATTACTTGGCCTGGAAAAGAAACAGATGCAGCAGCATAAGAAATTTCTCATAGTCAATAGATACACATCCAAAGAGCGTTGTAGAAAACATTACTAGGGTGGACGGATTTATCATTTTATGGTCTTCTATTTATATAAAAGGAGAAACCCATTTTTTTTCAAAATATAAAAGGAAAAATATTATTAGAGAGAAAGAGAAAAGTACAAGAGATAGAGGATAAGATATCCTCTTACATAACAAGAAAGAAAAAAAAAGAAGAAGCAAAGAACATCCTTCAAAGCAAGAGAGCAGCCTATCCATGTTTTACAGAAGAAAATGTGAACTTCAAAACAAACCATGAGACTTAACTTTATCTCATAAAGATTTATAAGCTATAAGCTTAAGCTCTCCAACAACGTATAAAACTGATACATTTTTGTAAAATAAGCTGCTAAAATGTTTGGTTATAAGCCATTGGGTAAATTATCAAATTAGTTCCCAAAGTATAGTGTTTACTACAATTTGATCTCTAATATTTTTTTTTGTTGCAATTTGGTTCATGATGTTTTCCATTTGTTTAAATGTCTAGTTTCCTTTCACTTCCTAACTAAAAATGTTAAAATAGTTAACCCATGTTTAGATGCTTTAAAAGATAGACTAGAAGAATGACATTCACTAACTAATTAAATTATTATTAATTTATTACATTAATTAATTAGTCAAACTTATTCATTTGAACTGTTTTTTAAACATCCAAACATGACCTAACTGTTTTAACTTTTTCCATTCAGAAATGGAACAAAATTGGATGTTTGATATAAATGGAAAAACGTCAGGGACCAAACTGTAATGAAATAAACAAATGTCAAAACTTCAAAGATTAATTTAATAATTTGCTTAAAGCTATATTAATACATTACTTGTTTGGCAAATATATACTTTATAGGCATCAATTCTGTCCAAATGACAAAATGTACATCCTTAAAATGAGGAATAAAACAAATTGTATAGAGACACGATTTTTAACATTGTTGAGGGTTAGTTCATTTTCTTATTTGATCAACACCAACCTGTTAGAAAACTTATAGGCTTATCTAACATAAAAGTCAGATCTTGTAAGATTGTTAATAAAGAGAAAACGCGAAAAGAGTGGCTTAGCAGCTTATATCTTGGACAACAACAATTTGTAACTCTTTAACAATGGTCTAAACTTGATTTCGCCTTTGGTAAATAACAAAAAGCTTGTAAGTCATACAACTTATTAGTTCTTATAAAAACATTTCTAAAAAGCTATTAGCCTCGACATTTTTCTTTAAACATGTTATAAGTCTTAAGACCCAGAAGGACACTGTAGAGGGCTAGGTGTATTCCTTTCTGTTATTTTGTTTTCTATTACTAACATAGCCGTTAAAATTTAGTAGGACAGGTACCAGTATGAATTAACAACTGGAATGCCAGCTGTAATGTACTTGGGCACCGAGTGTGTTATTTTTCTGTTTGCCAATGATTGAACAGGTAGTAATATTGTACCAAGCTGACTGTAGAAACAGACTAGCAAATTGGATGACAAATCTACCTAGTTTCTATCCTCTCAAACTCTTTTTTCCCCGACCCTTCTTCCTATGCTAATGTCCCTAATCCATCTCTCTTCGATCCTAAAATATCCTAAAATTTTGCCAATACATGTTTCTTGCAGTTGTTAATGAATCTGGTGCTCGACAATCTGGTAGCGGAGTTGGTCGATTTGGGTGAACTGATAGCTTTCATTATTAAGGTGGCCAAGAGTAAAAACAAGGCTGCAATGACACTTTTAGTTTTATTTTATTAGGTCATGACATGATAGATTTAGAGGAGATTGGAATAATCATTGACCACTTGATAAATATCTAATTATTTTGTATATGGATGGTACCTCCTTAGTACCTTGTCTATAATAACATACTTCTTTTATTTCAAAAAGAAAAAAATAATGGACTCACAAAGGAACTAATCAGGTAGAGGACTGTTATGGGTACTATTATGGTGTATTAGGAGAATAAATAATGTGTTAAGGGGGTGGATGGATGTATTGGGAAGAATAAGTCAATATGTGTTATGCGTAAAATGATGTGTTAATGACCTGTGTATTAGAGAACAAGTTTAGTTAAGGTGAGGGGATAGTTAATTTTGACAACAATTTCTTGCATAAATATTGGGTTTCTAACTCGAGAGATCGTTGATTTCTCTCTTAGCGAGCTAATATTTAAATCAAGATAGGTAAAGGATGAAAGACACAAATATCAGAAAAGTCCGATTAATTTTCACGTTTATCGCCCCATAACAAGTCCCATAACAAGATCCGTTAATAGAGATGGTAACAATTTGGTATCAAAACCAGGAGTTATGGACGAATTGCTATCTATGTTCAAGTCTTTTTCGAAGACTTATTAGGAAGATCATGGACAAGGTCATTTCAAATTTGAGATTTTTGAGTAGATGTTTGGAGAGACTTTATATTTGCAAAGCAGATCAGACGGAAAATGGAAAAGGCAGTAGGCAGCCTCGCCGCCAGCAAAACCGCAACAATGAACATGTGACCGATGATGCTGCTCCTTTTATTCCAAGGTATGCTAAATCAGATCTCACCATTTTGGTGGTTTTGTGGATCCCCTTCCTTGGATCTGTCACCGTGAATATTTTTTCTGACATCAAATCATTGATGAAGAGAAAGTCTCCTTGGCTCTTTCCATTTGGACGGGAAGCACAGTTGTGATTCTTGAAATTGGAGATAGACCGGCCAGCCCTGACTTGGCATGAGTTTAAATACTTGCCATCTACGATTTCAACCCCCTGATCAGAAGTAAAAAATTAGGGGAACATTGCCAGTTATGGCAGCATAGCACTGTGGCAGAATCTCAGTGTCAGTTTGAACTTCTCTCTGTGCAAGCCAGTGCTCTCTCATTAGAACAGAAAGTGGAAATTTTTCTAAGTGGATTTCAGGAATATATTGCAGTGGAAGTGGATTTACAAAATCCACGCGATTTAACAACTGCCACGAGTCTGGTGCATTGTTATGTGTTAGAATATTACAAAATATATTATAAAATATTCTTATGTAATTATTGGCAGATTTACTGGCATTAATAGGATAATCTATGTTTCCACGTATAGTTCCTTCTTCTATGTATACATACCCCTAGCCCTATGTAATGAGATACAAGAGAAATATTCAGTATTTTTCCCCTAATTCTTTAAGAGAAAACATCACTTCTGAATCATAATTGATGAATTCACCATCTATAGAAGCAAAAAGTTTGAGGGAGTCCAGAAAACATTAGCTATTACTAAAAAGTCAAATTAACTGGCAACAACCATCATTTATCAGTTTAAAATAGATATGTTGGAAGCTCACAAAATTCCATTATATTACCTAATATTTTAAAAAATGTATGAGTAGTATCATTAAGTAAATTCAATTTCTCCACCCTTCAAAAGATAGTTTTTGAACAACTAATTACCAATGGCCAATAGAGGGACTGCTAAGATATTAGTTGAAAGATTTCTATGTAGTTCAATTTAGTCCTTCACCTTTATCAAGACAAAAAAATTAATGGTTAAAATGATAATAACACCTAAGCATAATCCAATGTCCAGTTAATTATATCAATATCACCAAAAGTTCTACTGGCAAAAAAAAAGGAACCAAAAAAGTTATAGCTCATGAACTCCCATACTTACGATCAGTTTGTTTGAGTAGAGTCTCTCGTCTCTCTGCATAAATATCAGGAAACTGCTCCTCTAGGAAACGCTCTATAGTTAGGCAAACACTTGGAAATCCATTCGGATGCAAACTTTGACAGACTTCACATTTAATGATTCCACTCTCTGATCCACATATACAAGATTCACAATAGACTGTAGAAAGGAGAAAAATAGAATCAGCCTAGCAAATACCCATGTTTAAATGAAGACAACCGATCAAGACAAAAATAGGTTACCGTGGCCACAGTTAAGAACAACAGGTCGAAAGAGTAACTTCTTGCATGCAGCACATTGGAAATCAGAAACAGTAACTTGCTTGTAAGCTCCATGCTCAATATCATCCTCAAGCAAATTATACTTTTGGATTGTTTCATTTTCAGCAATTTCAGAGCTATTTGAAGCTCTCTCTGATCTTACTGATGAATCATCCTGCTGATGCATTGTTTCTCCTGATGAATTTCTATTTGAAGATGATTCCCCTTTCTCTGAATAATCTTCTAAATAAGATTTTGCCGGGAAATTGGCATGGGAAGGCTGATGAATGTCCAAGATATTCGATTCCTTACTAGGGCATGATCCAAACAACTTATGAGTCGCAGGTGAGAAGTAGCCGATTTTCTTTTCTTCTTCTGAATGATCAAATATGTGAAGAATAAGGAACTTTCACATAAAGAACCATTGAAATAAAATAGACTAGTAACCAAAACTGAAAAAAATATTATAAAAGCTTCATCATCATGGTTGCTAATACAATGAGATACACATAAGTAAAGATTCAACTACCACAAAGCAGCCATATGGTTTGCAGATTAAATAGGTGTTTTCCAGATATTACAATTCAAAGTTTACTTAAAAACCATAATTACATCTTAAATCATCACTTTTTGAAACCACCATTCCAAATAGATAAATCAATCTAAATCCAATAGCCATTATCTGATCACTTGGGAGAAATGCAAATGTGTCATCACATGAACAACACATGACAAGAAGAAAAATGACCTTAAGATAGTAATAATACAAGTATGTCATTGCACCATGTCAGAAGCACTGGATTTCATGCATAAAGGAGCTACAGTACATGAAAAATCAATACTTCTGTGAAGAAAATCAAAAGGTCGATTTTTTCTTTAAATAAAAAGTGCTTCTTCATATTAGAAAATAAAAAGGTCAAAAAATTAGCAAATCAAATGATGATTGGTTGCTTCTTCGTAAGTTGCCAACCACATCCCTGCTATATAGATGGGGTACTAAACCCAAGCAACCTTTTAACCCTTTTTTGTTGCCTAAGATAAACAAAATGTCTTCTTGTTACTATTTGTTTTAACCATATATTTGTGGTCATTGATGATCAAGGCTCCGCATCAATAGTTACTATTAGGTAAGGACTTACGGCTCCCTGGAAGTTGACAAGGAATGTTCTCATCATTTTCGACCCTATGGTCAAAATAAAATGGCATTTTGCAAGACTGTTTTTCTTGGCTTGCTTTTCTGAATGAATAAAAGGAAAGGAAAAAGGAGATGGCAAATTCTTTGCATAATATCAAGTAAGACCCTCCCCAAAATGGAGGATGAAAAGAAAGGAAAATTCATCATTTTGTATCAAAAGTTGCGATGCAGTCTACTACATAAACAAAGATCACTCCTAGATTTATATAATCTAACTATTACCAGAATTGCAAACCCCATCCAATGGGAGTAGGCACAAGAAGGAGCAAAAAAAAATAGAAAAAAAAAAAGAAAAATAAAACGAGAATCCTTCTGCTGATAAAAGAGAAGAATAAAGCCGAAGGTTGACAGAATCACAATAACTACCAAATGAAACCTAATTAAGATACCGGTTAGTCGAGTTGAATTAATAAGGCTTTTTACTATTTACAGCTGAAGTTGCCGCTTTTTGTTGCAGCACGATTCAACTATTTTTGTTTTATTTGTATTTCAAAAAATAGTTATTGTGTAGCATTATAATAAAATGCAAATTATTTTATTTCAAATAACAATTTACATAATATAATAATTTAATTTAGTTGAATAGAAAGTTACAGTGTTGGGTTGAGAAAGCACTCAAAATCTTACTAAAAGCAGAATAGAGAAGCTGCCATAGACTGAAACAAATAAAGCCTAATATATCTCACCCTCAGTTTTGTTTTATTGCTTGCTGTTTTTGCTCCTTTAAGAGTTGAAAAATTGGTGAGTTCACATGTTTTTCTCTCACCTGTTAACGGATTAAATTATAGGAGTAATTTTTACTTTCCATCATTTCTGTAACGTACCCTACAACCTATAATTGACTCGTCATTATAGCAAACTTGTAGATGGAGCTACAATTATGGATAGACCTCAAATATAAAACTTTAACTTATATTTTCCATTATCTTATTGTTTCTAGACGTATGATGAGAAAATAATTTCTGAAGTCTATTTCTTCCAACAATAATTTTTTTTTTTGTTGAAATAAAATTTCTTCCAACAATAATACCCAAAAGAACCTCATCATATGTAAAAACAAAAAACAAAGTCTACAGGTAGGTTTTAGCATATTAGTAAAAAAATCTAGAACTTTCTGTACCTACTAAAAAAGGTAGCAATCCATTAAGAAAAGGATATGTGTTTTCTTACTGAAAGTAATAACATGGTCTCTAGAAGCATCAAAAATGGTAAATTGAATTCAAATACTCACCTCTCACTTGTCTTTTCCTGCTTTCATAAGCTACAGGATACAACTTCTGCAGCAAGAGATGTAACAATTGACAAATACTTGGAAAATGGTTATATGGGTGTCGACATATGGGACAATGGGACTCATAGCATATGCTCATAGCTTTGTGCACACACCAAAAACATGACAAGTGGCCACAACCTGTAAACATGGAAAAATAATGGCTTCGTAAAAGTTTATGTTATGCATCAATTCCCCATTCCTGCACTTCAATTCTCACTCACTTCCCACAAGATTTACCTCACAAAAGAAGGAAACAAGATATTTTTCCATCAGACACGTTTTTACAATAAATATAATTTCCTCTTACCCAATACCACTGGCTTGTAAAGGAGATCCCTACAACATCAAGGGAAACTGTTTTAAAACATTATATGTACCCAATAAACGTAAACTCTAAGTATATTAGTAAACTAGCAAAAAGCCAAAGCTCCACAGAAAAAATTCCAATACGGGATAGGCAAGCACAGGTTCATAGATAGCAATTGACAAATTAACATGGTAATCTTCTTATGCCTTGTTTCCTTTTTGATTTTCCTTCCCAAAAAAAAAAAAAAGAAAAAAAAAACCATTTCCTCCCAGATGTCTAACTGTTGAAGCATCAAAAGGTTAACTGTTTAAACTAATCTGAACAACATGCAAAATTGAACCCCCATCTAAATCACTAGTAATTTAGAAATTAAAATTTCAAATGATCACGTTAGACTAGCCTCTTCAAATGAATAGTAGCTAAAACAACCACAACGTAACGCCTAGGTACGTAAATGCAGGAAAAAAAGTAGACACTGAAATTATCACCTAGTTCCTGCTTATGTTGAGAGATCCCGTACAACTACAAATAAGATTACCTTCCTTTTGGAGGCTTTACATTACAGAAAACTCAAAATAACAAAGAATTTTACCATTCTTTATTAAATTCTCCAGATATTTAATTTCCTCATATTTGACCAAATATTTCAGAAAAACTCATATCTTAGTTAAGGTATTTTGTCGTTCATGTATTTGTTGCATCACTTGTATAGCATTTAAGGTTATTTAGATTTATTCCGTATCAATTATATGGACCATAAATTGCTAATTTTTACTCATGATTTTATTAATTGACATTAATTAGCAATGTGTCACAAAATTTGTCCACAGAAATTTAAATGCTCAAATTCCTTATGATACTGGAGTTGAGCCGTGCACTATGAACACGGTTTTTTCTTTTCAGTTCTACGTAGGTTTTATAATCTCATTTCAATTACATTACTTAAAGTCTAATCACTCTGATTCACCAAATTCACAAGGTTCCAATCATGAAGATCCTGGATGAGACTGTGTTGCATGATCAAATGGTTCATATGTATATATAAATACATGAATACAGGTAGCAACACATTCTTGTACATATAAGGCTGTAAAAATCCAGAGAATGAGAGGGAGGAAGAACACATGAAAATGACTTACAGGCAGATACAGCATTGAAATTCATCAGGAAATTCTTCAGCTTGAAGCACATTTTTTTCTTCTTCTTCTGCGATTAGGGATTTCTTTTCTTTGTCACCATCATTAGCAGCAACTTTGCATTTCTTGGTGTTCTCCATTTGAAATTGAGAAAGAAAGCTAAACAAAAAAAGGACGGAGAAAAACACCAAGGAGATTATTATAACCCTAGCAGGGAAAAACAAAGAAGCAATCTGCAGGGATTATGCAGAAACTTCGAGGGAAGAAGAGAGGGAGAGAAAGGGTGGTGAAAACTCAAGCAAACAAATGAAACAACGTGTAATCCACCGCTTGCCAACAGCAACACAGGTGTAACTGTAAGCTATTTTACAGGAGTGTTTTCTGTTAGTTTTTTAGGGTGAATTTTAAAAGGCTAAATATTTCAGTAAAAAGTAAAAGTTTAATGTTATTTATAAATTTTTTGTGCCTTAAAATATTTTTCTAGTTAATAAAAGTTCATAATTATTTTGGCAACGTTTTTTTAATTTTTTTTGTGTTTTAAATTAAGTTATGAATTAGCAAGCTTATAAATTCATGCAACAAGATTTTCAATAAAGAAAATGCTAACTTAGAACAAGTAATTATTCTTAATGCACTCAAGTAATTCTAAAAAATTGCAATTTTAAAATTTCAAATGTTTGAAACATAATAAATTAACAGTTTTATAAGGTTCACTTTTAACAAACATATAAATAGATTAATAAAATATAATATAATATAATATCTAAGCTCATGTACAATTTATTTTCTAAAACATTAACGGGGGTATATCTCATTGAATAACTTATTAATCATAAAAGTTATAAAATCGTATATTTCAAATTGAGCCAAGCAGCATTATAACACGTGTGAAGTATGAAGGGTAATCGTTGTTTTCTAAAAACAAAATAAATGAAATAAAGTTTGATTATAAATATTAAAACTTATCCATACGTTGTTGACTTTTGCTAGGGAAAGACCATTGACAGTTAATAGAGAGAAAATTGTTCCTTGGAAAATACATGCGTGAAATTTTTTGTTTTAAGTTGATAGAAATGACAATTTGAATATAAAAATTTCTAAAAGAAATAATGATTATTTACAGAAATCTGATTTTATAACGCACAAATTCATATTTTTTTAGGAAAAAAATGCAGATATAAATTGCCCACATTTTTTTTTTTTCTGGAGAGATATTGAATATATATATATATATATATATAAATTAACAGTGACATGGACGTGGACAAGATTTAAGCAATAGACAGGGGACTCAAATTAACAGAGAGTCCTATGATTTTAACAGAATTAACCGCTAAACCAGGTTTAAATAACTTTTTGGGTATATTTTCAAAATTGAAATATGTTTTTGCATATTAGCACAAAATTTAAGTGATGTCTAGATAAATCTTTCTTTATCCATTCACTTTTTAATGTGGTATACCAAAACCCAAGACATGAGAATTAATTTTTGAAGAGAAATTTATCATATGCATATTTCAAAGAAGAAAATAGATCATAGACATTTTCTTGCATTCATCTTCATCCTCACATTAACTTCTTTATAATTATTGGATAATCTTCTTCCCTAAATAAATAAATAAATATATATATATATATATGTATATATACAAATGTTTAATTCATTTCTAGCTGCATCAAAATCCCAAGACGCCCAGACAAAGTAAAGAGTATCTCAATATCAACTCGGTTTGCATAAATGTCTCGATCACCCAAAAAAACGAAAACATTTTAAAAAGAACACAAAACAACACCACAACCACCTAATACCAAGGGAACCTCCTCTTCCCCTTATTAAGGAAAGCCCAAAAAAAAATGCATAATGATCAGATATTGGGTTTCAGTATTTAGGTATTCTTCCTGAAAGTAGCCCGAAGACTGGATACCAGTGCAATGAACCACAGGAAGGCAGCAAGTTATTTCCAGATCTTCACAGATTTGTCATGACTAGCAGAGGCAACCATACCAGTTTGTGGTGACTGCGCCAAGGCCGATATTACACATTCATGAGCTGCAATTGTCATGCACTTATTCTCAGCCATGTTCCACAGCTCCAGAGACTGCAACAAGATTAGTGGCGAATATAAAAAAAATTAGTCATTTGTTAAGAGTTATGAAACAATTGGGTACAAGCCCCAGTTATTGACATAGTAGTTGAGGACAAGATTCCACATCATCCATCAAAAGAATTAGGAAGAATGTTCATCTAGAATCCAAATGTAGCAATCACCTCAAATCAAGCTCAGAAGTTAAAAGGAAGTCTGGCCTTATCTCCAAGACCTTCTAAAATGTAATCCATGACATAACCATGTAAAACTATTTGAAATGCTGTTGAAACCTACTAAATGCATTTGCATATCAACTTTTGACATAATTGAAAGGTAATGGCTGAGTTTGGTACACGAAAATATTTTCAAAACCGAATTTACCAGTCAAAATCCAAAGCAACAGGTCATCTTAGCCCAGGCCAAGTGGTGGGTCACCCCACCATGGGCCGGCCCATTTCCAACAGATAAAACCTGATAAAAAAGAAGAGGAAAGGCCCAAGGCCTTGGAATCGCTTTTTAAGGCCCAAGGCCTTGGAATCGCTTTTTAAGGCCCAAGCGAAAACACCCATTATATCTACTCAGCGGATCTCTTTAAGTTTGCTTACTCAATCTTCCAAGCTAATTTCCTCTTCCTCTTTCTTATCTTTGGCTCCACCTCTGAAAGGTGCCACAAGAGCTGTCTGAGTTTTGGAGAACCAATGTGCTCTTATAGCAACCTGAGTGAGGAGTCCTTACACGTGACTACTCTAAGCCAGCTAGAGACTGTTTTCTTCTTCTTCATGGTCGTGTCAGTCTTTTTTAAAAAAATAATTCATGCTCGTGCCAGTCTTAGCATCTCAGATGATGATCATTAAGTATAAGAATAAGGCTTCAACTAGTGAAAAGAATCGTGGGGGGAATGAAAAGCTTAGATGTGGAAAAATCAACAAAGATGAACAGTTGATAGGGTCCACCAAATAAAGCCCAGTGGATGTTCCATTAATTTCTGAATCTGATTGAGCTCTGAAAAAGTGTAAAAAAATGAGTAATTCGTTAAGGAGTAGCTTTGATGGAATTGAGAGGCAGTTTACACTCTTCTTAGCAGACTTGAATATTGCTTGTCTACTGGAGATAGTGGGTTAAAAGCAGGAAACAAGAAAACAGAGAAAGGCAGGTAAAGCCAAGGAGATGAAGAGATTGAATTGTCTGGCTAATTATGAAAAATGGATCAAAGGAGCAAGGGAGGCAAAACAAATGTGTCCACTGTTAAACGGGGTTCCAAATGATACAGGCATGGTGTAATATATATTTCCTATATAGTTATTTGCCAGTAGGCCTTTCTTATATAGTAATGTTTTCTATTCATAACCATCTGTTTCTTAGCATAGAGATTCCTAAAATACCTACCTGCATTTTCTTTCTAACACAATAAATAAATACACTCATCAACAGCGACCAAATTTGATCCATTCTGAGATGGCCTAGGAACTTTTCCCAATTGTCTCCCGTGTTGATCTGGTTCACAGTTGAGGTGCTTGTTTGGTAGGTCTTTGGCGATGGATAATTCTTCTTCTACGTTAGGGTAATTTGACTTTCCATGATCAGAGAGTCTATTGGGCTCGAGTTTTGTGGTTGTTTGGATAAAATCAGTTTGCTTGGGGGGGCTACTGTTAGTGATTTGCTTGTATTTGGTGTTAGTAAGATAACTTCAAACTACAATGGAGACCAAGTTGGTTCCAATTAGATCAGGTGGTGGGTTCCCCAAATTACTACTCGATGTTTGACTGAAAACAATTACATGCAGTGGCCTAAGTTAGTAAACATGTATTTACAGGACAATGTAGTCTTATTGATCATACCCCAATGACAATTCATTGAAGTTGGATAATGGCAACAAGGAAGATTCACAAAATTGCAAGTCTCCAATGGAATTCTGTGGAGCCTCACATTGCTAGTTTATCTGCCCACCTTGATTCTTGTAAGGAAATATGGGATTATACCAATCTTCTGTATGCCAGCAACATGATCCGTCTGTATGATTTGTCTATGGAACTTCACAAGGTGAGAAAACTATCCTACAGTATTTTCTAGACTACAACAATTTCGTGAGGAAATTGAATATGAATCAATCCATAACTGCTGGTGAAAGCCATGCAAAGGCAAAGAGAGCAATTAGTGAATATGCATATCACGGCTGGATTACAATCAGAATTTGAGCTTGTGGCTCCTAAATTTCAGTAAGTGTTAACTTCCTTCTTTTGCTGAAGTCTGTGCATAATTGTGGCATACTTCCTGTAAGGATATGACCTCCCTCAGATATAAATGGCAACTCTGCTTGGTTATCCCAAGAGAATGGTGGTGGCCAAATGAGAGGGCGTGGTGGTTGTTTTGAAGGTTGTCATGGTATCTATTTTGAAGGTGGTCATAGTGGATGTGATATACAGCCGAAGTGCCCTCATTTTGGAAAAGATGGTCATAAACATGATCATCGTTAGAATTTGGTTAATAGTGGTACACCACATCGAATAGCTAATTTTATTACAAATATTTCTGAACCTCAAGGCTCGATTTCTATGCTGTGGGTTGAGTGAATCTGGTACCATGATGGTTTCTAAGGATGAGTCCTCCAGATTCCTTGAATGTCAAGTGTCCCAATAAGCTTCAACTTCTATTGCCTCTCTTGTCCAAATAGATAACCATTCAGCTAGTTTCTCTTTTATTCCTATACCATAGGGTGAAAGATTCTACAACCACAAAATAAGTTCAGTTCTTTTACTACTGTTCAACCGATTCCATCATCTCCAACAGCTTTTATAGTTTCTTGGCAAATAGGGGTGTAAAGTTGTTATTGATGGTGTAAAGTTGTTTTTTAATTAATTAACTATATGCCTAAAGTCTTGTATTTTATTCGTTTACAATTATCTTGCTATTACATGGCAAAAGAGATTGGTGAAGGACGTGAATCTAAGGGCTTGTACTATCTAAGCTCTTCCTCTCCAGCAGCCAGTTCTGTAGTAGTTGAGTCACTCCTCTTCAAACTCACAGTTTTTTGGGTCATCATTCTTTAGAGAGACTAAGGAAACTAGCTCCTTTTGCTGATATATCTAATCTCGATTAGTCTTGCCAGATGTAGAAACTAAGAATTTTTGGTTGGAAGCTAAGGCAGTACTTTAAGAAGGCAGAGGTGCTTATAAGGTCAGCCCTTGGAGGTGGATTGCTAGAGATTGAAGCATCTTGATTAGTTTATCTAAATTCACTGTGGGTAATGATAACAAGGTCAGATGTTGGTGTGACCATTGGTGCAGTAATGCTTCTCTCAGGGACTGCTTTCTGCGTATTTTAGCAACTTCCAATTTAAGTAGACAAGGGTTAGAGATTGTTTGTTGGTGTTTAGTGGTGGAACCCAATGGAATGTCACTCTACTTCGAAATCTTAATGATTGGAGAAGTGATTGGATATCTCTTCTCTTTGTTGTAAAAGTCCGTCCTATACCCTCCCAAGGACAATGGTATTTGTGGAAGGTAGAAAAAAGATGGGAAATTCTCTGTACAATCTTATTAACATCATCTACTGTAGACCCTATTCTATACTATTTTCCTTTAAAACAAGTTTGGAAAGCTAAGGCAGGCCCCAACACAGTCCTTTTCGCAAACAACATGAGAAAGTATTTTAACGTTGGACAACTTAATAAGAAGAGACTCAAAAATAAAATCAATATATACATACACATACGTGTATATATGTAGTATATATGGTACATTACGTAGAAGTTCTCAAGGTTTGGATATAATTATACCCTAATCTATTGTTTTTGAAAAATAGCTACTAGTCATTTCAGTTTACATTATAATATGTCCAATTTTCTTCTTTAGATTATAATATGTCCCTATCCACACTTCCAAATTCTTCTTTGATCTTACTGTAATTTCAGTTTACCATAAACTAAAATCCTTTTTTTTTTGTTTTTCCAAAGAGAATCGTTTCTTGTGGTTGATATATGGCACATATAATTTAATGTATGTCTAGCAGCTGGGCTAAAATTGGCAAATATGTTTGTTCTACAAGGACTACTATATTACTTCTTTAAAATAGTAATGATACTGCAGATACATGCAAAGAAATGATCAAAAAGGCTGTATTGGCCAGAAAATTGGGAATTCCTATCATAATGCATGACTACTTAACAGGAGAATTCACTACAAATATTAGTTTTGCTTATTATTACTGAGGTAATGATCTACTCCTTCGCATCCATTGTGCAATATATTCAGTTATTGATAGATAGAAAAATCATAACATGCACTTTCGTGTACTAGCTAAAAACTTACGATTGTTTGATGGCTCTAATTATTTAGGAGAATATAATATTTTTTTATAGCAAAAAAAATCTGGATAGGAGATATTTAGATTGGAGAATTCTCAACTTTTGTCTCAAAAACAAGGTTGGATATTGAATCTTGGGTTAATGTCGATATTTAAGAGTAACAAAAATATTAAGACTGGAGTTAATAATTATCAAACTATTGATATAAGAAGAAGGATCTTTTTTTTATTTCACAACCATCAAGATTGAGAAATCAAGCCTTCCAATCCAAAAAGTTTCTTTTCTAATTGGATGGGAATTATGCCCAAATGTCAAGAACCTCCATGTAATTTTTACAATAAATATATACATATAAATATGAGCACAAAAACAGAAGCTAGAAAATATTTTCCTATGTCAAATGCAGTCTTTATTCCATGGGTTGTCTGAATGCAGATCAGGAATTAAACAGAAAGAAATTAACTGACATCTAGTCAAAGAGTAAAATTGATATCTCATAGCCAAAAGCAAACATAACATCACCTGATAGCCACCAATGACCAAGAGAGTAGAATAGCTTGGATGAAAAACACAAGAGTGGAACTTGTTTCCACTAGAACTGAGTTCATGAATGCACTCTCCTGAAGCCAGTGACCATACTTTTACAGACTCTTGACTAACAGACGCCAAATAATCTCCATTTGTATCCCAACAAACAGAGTGAACTTCAGTGGGATGCCCCTGAAAAACAAAAAGATCATCTATGAATTTCAGTTACTCCAGATGAAAGATGAAAATTGTCTCAATTTTCAACAATGCCAATATAGATGTGCTGATAAAAGATTTGCCCTTTCTAAATATTTATGGTGCTCGACATGCTTGTACCTGTAGCAGGAGTGTCCGCCTATCCGTCTCAACATCGAAGATCGATACAACATTCTCTGAAGCTGCAGCCAGCAAGTGTCCTATTCTTGGCTGAAATCTAACTTGTGAGCTACCTCCCTGCACCAAATGACTAAGATTTAGGAGAGAAGAAATTCAATCTAGATAGAGATCTAAAAACATAGAAGAAGAAAAATTAGAGGAGAGTTCTAAGGCTAGCCTTTGAAACACGGGCACAAGAATATTGATTGATGTTCCAGAAGCGAATCTCATTGTTACCATCACAAGAGCAGAACAGTTCACTTTTCTTAGGGTGAAAATCAAGGGACATTACAGGTGATGTATGACCTGCATATGTCCGTATGCTATAGCTTGGCTGCAAAATCAGCTAAAGTAAGTGCCAACTGCCAATGGAATAAACTGAAACAATTATTGGTGTTAATAAACATGAAGGTTCCCAGAAAATTTCCTTTCTAATATTTTTTTTACTCCTGCAAGGTAAAAATTTACCTCTGAAGCATCCCAAACACGCACACTTTTGTCAAATGATGATGTGGCCAGCTGAGTTGAATGTGGTCTGAAGCAAACATCTGTAATTATATGAGAATGTTCTTCTGGAGTACATTCAGTTTGCAGCGTTTCCATGTTCCAAATAACAACCTATGAACATGATAAAGTAAGCAGCTACAGAGTACATGAAAATAACCAGATCTTTTTCCCACAATTTGTTTAAAAACCCTCAAATTTCAACCCTTTAGAATTCTTAGAATTATTTACCAACTAAAGGCATGGATGTCCCTGGAAATCTAACACGTAAATTCAAGGAAATAATTAATTTATAACAAACACCTTCAATCCTTTCACAACCCTCAGCTTAATAACCAAATAATGTTACCAAATTTCAGCATGCAGCTAAATGAGCTTACAGCTAAACTCAGTAGTAACAGCCTATGTAACAAAAAACATTATCCGTTTATGGAAATGTGATTATAAAAGAATAACAAACCATCAAGAGGTGCCCAAAAGTACTTATGTTTCAAATTTTTTTTTGCCCTATACATAGGCTCATGGGATTTTCTAAAAGCATTATACCTTCTTGTCATGTCCAGCACTAGCCAATAACTTCCCATCTGAAGAGAAATGACAGCAAATAACTTTGCTATTGCTTTTACGTATTGAACCCACTTCACCAAAGCTGAAACCTGTGACGAAGAAACAATAGCTAGGATTCTGGTTACTTTAAATAGTCATATATATAAAACTACAAGTACAAAAGGATAAATACCCTTGGAAGTTTCAGCAGCATGCTCAGAAGGGTTTCGTTTTAATGAGCCAAACAAATCCCTTCCATCTCCATCATCAGGTGAGAGAAAGGATTCCACATTATCGTCTAAGGAGCCAACATCTCCAAAATGGTCCATATCTTCCTGCAGTATAAAAATTTTAATTTTTAAAGGAGAGAAGCCTGTTTGTTTTACAAGAACTACAAA